AATTTATCATTTTATTACAACATTAAATCGTATTTACGTACTTTGAAATACTCTTGTGCCAATTCTTGCATTTGCTCATTTGTTAAAGTACCAATTTCATCCTGAAACATATGGACAACTGTTGCACCACCATTAGGATACGTTTCTATATGGATGAATTTTTTGTACTTTAGGCCTTCCAGTAATTCCTTTTTCGTCACCGGATTGTTTAGCATCTTATAGTTTTTTGTTTGTAGGTTTAACCTTAAGTTTTCATTGACTGATTTCGAGAAAGGGAGAACCTTGCTGCTCAATGAAGACAAAACATGACGATCCCGTTTGCATTGTACACCAATGCTTGCTCGTTTAATTCCTTTGCGTTTGTGACATCGTGAACAATATCGTCTGTCTTCTTTCGAGCGTTTCTCTCTTGAAGACGAATGCAAACTGGAAGATGGATTAGCAATGGAATCTGTGGATTTGTCGTGAAATTCTATTGCCAATTTCTTTCTATTCGATTCTATCTCTGAAAAATTATCTTTTGTCCATTCGGATTTAATTTGAAAAGTTTCCTGCAAATCTGCAAATTCTTTCTTAATCTCAATAGGCTCTGCTGTCAGTTCTTTGTTTGTAACATCTTCTCCGGCAACCTCTCGCTCCTCGCTCAATTCTGTTTTTATAACTTGTGAATCATTTGTTTTCTTCGGCGACGAACAAAATAAATTATCAGCTATTTTATCCATACACGTGACCGCGTTCTTTTCAGTATTCTCTTCGTTATATTTTGCTGTGTCCATAATAACTGTAGAATTCGCTGACATCATACTAATGGGAAATGTTGTATCTTGACTGTGAGGATGAGGACTGACAGAAACTCTCGGAGGATAGTCTGGACTCCTCGGACTACTAATCACTTCGCCATTACTTTGTGGACTTTCTCCCAACTGTGGGGTGTTACTGGAGAAATTTACACATCCTTCTAATTTTGTTTTCGTGGATAATATGTGCATGTCTCCAGATAACATTGTGTCGTTGTTACATGTGGAATCGGTCTAAACAAAAAAAAAGTTAATTAGATAACGATTGCCTTGATTGCATCATTTATATAATATAATTAAACGTAAGAATTGTACTGTCAATGATATGTCAGTATAGAATGCATAATACAAAAAATATCTTACAAAAATTGTATGATACATACATGTGTAATATGTTCTGGATCCTTGGAAGTTTTTACTACATCATTGTTGCAATGATCTGGACTTCCTGCATCATACATATATCATTTTATTTAATAATTGTAATAAATAATATAGTCCTTGATTTTACATTAAGTTGAAAGTGAAAAGTTTTGAGTAAAGGAGTACGAGATAAATAATGATCTGTTTTAAGAACCTAATTTTCAATTTAAAAAAATATTATTTCTCTTTTTACGAGAACTATCATTACAGATTCTATTCTCGTTATTGCATTAATAACAAAAATTAGCATTTTTTTCCTTTTATTCTTTAAAAGTTGATAAAAACATACACAAATATATGGTAGTATTTCAGCCAAATGCAATAATAATTATTATTATAAAAATAATTCTAATCTATTTAATTTGTTCTTATATTAATTCTGTAGAGAAGAAATAAAATACTTTCTCTTATAGCATAAAGCTTGCGGGACACGATGCTTGTTTTCCTGCTGGATCAGAATCTTGCCATCGTATTGATTACGGTACTGACAGTGTCTGCATCATAGCCAATACGATAGCAAGAATTTATTCTAACTAGCAATCCAGCAAGAAAACAATCATTAACAGATTTTTTATAAACATGTCTCTTAATAATTATTTAGTAATTACTATACATATCAAATCCAGCACAAATTTATTTTCATTGTTACTCAACTACATTTTGTCTGTATTGAATATAATCTATGGATTAGAACATTGGAATGCGAAGCTTTGAAAGTAGCTGTCAGACCACTAGAATAAATACATCCCGGCGTTATAAACGACATAGATATCAAACAGCTACCGCCACTACCGGTCGCTTGAAAATACCTTCCTAGGGCTTCACGCAACAAGGAATAATACGAAAGGAGAAATTACCGTCTGGCTCTCCTGGAAGACGAGCAGTGTCGTCCAGGTCACTATCATGACGAGACATGCTGCGCCTCTGAGAGGACGGTTGGTGCGTTTCGTTGTCAGGCTCGCTGCTCGCAACCAGTTGAGCCACATCACCAGACGAGCTCGCAAGGCCCGTGTTTCTCTGTAACGCGTGCCCTTCCGTGTTCGTGTGATCCGTGTGAAACGGTGACGCTGCAGGGAGACCCGTGGGCGTCCTCGGCGAATTATGCGCGGGATCGCTCGCGCCTTCGTCCGTCTCCTCGACGACGATACGCGCCGCCGTCCTGGATGACGCAACACCCACTGTTTCGCTCCCAACTGACTCGATTGCCCGCTGGCTTGTATTATTTACATCATATCCTACGTTTGACACGATACCCGCACCATCCTCGGATGCCATCTTGGTTCCGTGAGCGACATCCCGGACGCGATGATACTACGCGGACGCCGATTGGCGGTCGCGTTTACCGGCGACGGCGCATGCCGACCGCCATTCGCTCGCGCCGACGCCGTTGAGTGGGGGCCGCGCCAATAGACGGCCCGGTTCTATCAGTATGAGAGGGACATTTTTATCCGCCGGAACGCCGGAATCTTTGGGAGTCTTCGATCTCCAAACCACGTAGTTTTCCGCGAAACTTTTCCATTTTTATCGCCAGCGACGACACGCGAAATTGATGCGTGAAGACTGGAAATATGATACCGGATATCATTTCCCACAATCCTCGTGAAGATTTCCAGCTGTCCTGAGTCAACCAAGATCAACCAAAATCAACACTCGATACTCTGCTTACGATACGTGCTTTTGCGCGGGCGGAACAAGCGAATGAGTCAGTACTTATTACAACACAGACCATTCCAGCAAGATTGTAGTAAACATTGCAGCAATATTGCTGCAAGCTTTTGTATTGTATGGGTACTGATAAAAATTTATAAAAAATTAATTCCTTTTGAATTTGCAATAATTGTGGATTTGTAATCGCGTAACTTTTTAGTAAACTAACTTAATTATGAAAGTCCGACAACCATATCGGCACGCAATTATCATTTCTGAAATTAATTCATTTAAAATGAATTTACAATAGTTCAACATCTTAACGTTCTGACCGTTATGGCGCTTCTTAATTTAAAATTATTATGTTTAACATTAGCGGTCTTTCAATCTTATTATTATAACTTAATTATATTTTCTTGATATTGTATTATCTACGTTTTGAAAATTTAATCTTTCACGGTCTACAAATCCTCAAAATTAAAATTTTAAGAATTCTTGAAATTTCAGTTCTTGGAATTTAATTGATCAGTGTCATCTCTTACTTGAATATATTTCCCCGATGCTTTCGTTGATTCCAATGAATCTAAAATTTTGTCGATAATAAATATTAATGACAAAATTGCGTTATTATCGATAATTGGAATGGCAAAGTATGTCACAACTTTAATCAACGATCGTTGATTATACTTAAAAGTTTCAATCGTGGAAATCTATTGCCAAAATATCAAAGAAATATAACAAATAAGAGATGAATAAGTTAAAATTTAAAAACTATGTTTGCAATTATTACAATTTCAAATATTAAGACATTTACGTATTACAGTCAATAGGAATATAACACGGAATACATAATGCAAAAGACATAAGAAAATGAATCAATCAGATCCTTTGTTTTCTTCCTTTCTATGAAATAAAAAACTATGGTTGATTTTTTTATGCCTTATGCATTGTATATTATGTGCAAATTAGGGTCTGTGCTGCAGCCTTAAGTTACATATTTATATTATACATTTATAGACTTTTAAATAAAGATATTTCGTGAAAAAGAATATTAATATTCGCAAGATCCGTATTTTTATATTATATAACATTATATATGTATATGAATCTTGTTATATTTAAGCTATAATTGTTAAAACATACATTTTACTTACTCGATTCCAAGCTAAAGTATTCATTTATAAAATTTATAAAATAATAGCTTGTGAGATTGAAGAGCAAAATTTACATTGTTTAATAATAATTGTAAAAAAATTATAGCCGTACAGCTATATGACAATAAATTGAGCATGTATTAATTATCATTTTGTTATTGCTCGTTATATTATTAAATCATGTAGCCAGATTTATTTGCAGACGTTCTAATTGTAAATGGGACCTTAAAAGCTGGACTATGCAGTAGAACTTGATCAAACGAATTATTTTAATTTTAGTGTGTCTTAAATTGTCTCAGTTTAATTTTTAGTCTTTGATTTTCAATCTTCATGCAATGATCAATTTAATACAAATTTTATGTGGATTATTCGTCTTTAGGTTTGTTCGCGTCGCATGCTTCAACATGTTCCAATATTGGGTGGTGTTCCAAATTTACTGCCAACACTGAAAATGCGACAGTTTACGTTACGTGCATTATAGATTTTCAGTACAGGCAGTCAATTTTGGAACATAGCCATCCTCCTACCATAGCATTACTTCCTACTCACTCCAACGCACTTGGTAGAGTGAGCAGGAGATATGGTTGGAGTATGTTGGAGCTTGCGACGCGACAAAATGCTGGATTCACACTGCATCCGATTTTCGTCGTACGAC